AAGTAAACAGCTATGCAGGGCTTGCCACAGGGCAATCTCTCAATTAAATTGAGCATTCCTGTGTCGCATCAAAAGGCTTTTGCTTTTTTCTTGTGCTGTTTATAATGTTAAATAATGGTTTGGAAGGCAGTTATCTCTTTAACTACTGTTTAACAGCAGAGGCTTGTAATGTTTTACAGTGTCAAAAAGCACAGATTTCTCTGGAATCCCTTGATGAGATGATATGAGAAAATGTTTATTGGCGTACTATAAACTGATCCAAACCTCACTAACAATATGTGTAACTCCATTGTGGCTGAAACCCATTACATTTCCTTTGTGAGTCATTGTTGAATAGGATGAAATGGTAAAATACATTTAAATTCAGTCGTTTTTATAGTCAATGAGGGTTTGGTTACAGTCATTCTGTGATTTCTGCTTCTTTTCACCCCTTAAGTCTCAAAACTTGTAAAATAGTCTCTTCCGAAAGTAGCAGAGTGCTAAAATGGCATCCAGCAAATTGAAGTCAAGGTTTTTTCGTCTGCTAGTAGAGAGAGGCTGTCAGCTGATGCAGCGTGCGTGTGTGTGTGTGTGTGTGTGTGTGTGTGTGTGTCTGAAGGAAAAGTAAATGGGGGTGGAAGTGGCTGGTGTCTGTTGAAGGGAAGCACGAGTGTTTGTTCCCGATGGCAGGCATCAGAGTGTGAATATGACCTCTGGTGGAAAAAAGTGGGTGAGAAAAAGAAAAGACAATGGCTGCGGAGATCAACCTCCACTTTTAGGCACTCCGGACTACTGTTATTTTGTATCACTTTGAAAGGGCAGTATGGTTTCCTCAAAGACACGGGGAAGAACACGTTTTATTATAAGTAGTGGAATAAATCCTGTCTATCCCTGAAATGGTGTGAATGATTGTTTAATTTCTTCATGCTGTTTTTACTGCTCGATAACTCGCCGAACGTTATACCAGAGAACATTTGCTTTTGAATGTTTCTCTTTTTTTTTTTTTCTGTCTCCCTTCCGCTTGTCTGCTGATCCCTGGTGAATGCATTAAATTAAGTTACTAGATATGAGTGCTTAAGGGGCCAGGGCCTCCCAGGCTTGCCAAGGCGCTCAGAAGCTTGGCCCATTCAACCATGTCATCTTTTCTTTCTTATCGTTTTATTTATATAATTTTTTTTTGTTTCAGCTACTGGCTGACTTTTTAGTATGGCAGGGCATTAAGTCTTCAATAACTTCACTGAAAAACAATCAGGCAGGAGGAGGCATAATAAATCAGACATGTACATCTAATTATTTTGTTAAAATTCATCAGATTTTATTGGTTACAATAAAGCACTTACACCCTTTCCCTCTTTTTAATCATCAAATATTAAATGTTTAACATCTTATCAAATTATAAAGGCCTGTTCACACTGAGGACGATGATGATGACAAAAAAAAAGTTTTAAATATCGTTCTAAATTAAAAAAAAATAAAAATAGCAGTCCACACCACAACTATAACGATAATGACATGGAAAGGAACATTATTACCGGAATCACTTATAAAAAGATTTTTTCCCAGCTGATGAACGATCAAAACATTGACAGCCAATCAAAATCCAACCTGCTTTGAGGACCTCGAACATTTAAAGTGGCATATGACAAAACTGCAGCGTGTGCTTATAATAAACAGAATTTTATGGATGCTATTAGCAGGATGCTAATATAGGTGTCATTATACTTATATTTATCGCTATCGTTCTTAGTATGAATGGGCCATAATTCTTGAAGGAATAATCTGGGTTTCATACGAATTAGGTTCAACTGACATCATTTAATGTTGATTTCCACAGAAATTAATTTCAAATCATTGTTTTCAGAATGGGGTCAATTTTACAGGATTTAAAAGCAGAAATGTGAAGCTTTTAATTTGATAAAAAACACAAATTGTTCCATACTAAAAACTTTACACAAATATTGTTTAAATCTTGTGGCAATTGTATTGTCAAAATTCATTTTTGTGGTAATCAACATCATGCCACAAATGCTTTCGATTGAGCCTGCCTCGTATTGAACCTGGCATATTTCTTTAATTCTTGCCATCTCAAGCTAAACCCTTCAATAATACACTGGTGTGAAGGGGTCAGGGTACAGTAGCTGAGGCATTGTGATGGGCATTGAATGCAGAGCAGAACTGAATAGACACAGTCAGCTTCCCAGATACATGCTTAGGCCTGTAGAATGCAGAATGCTTTGCTTGTAACTGCACCGGTTGTCTCCTTTCATTATCGGTTAATGGTGGCCAACTTGACAGGGCCATGTGATAAACAGAGGAGCTGTGAAATCCTGGAGGTGGAGTTCTCGTCTGCCTGATAATGGGATCTCATCTGCTGTTGTGAATGGCTGCGGAACAGCCATCTGAGTGCATGAAATGCAAAGCATTCACAATTCTGGTGCTCTTTTTGGCGTACATTTCCTCCCAACGCTCAGCTTGTGTTTTGTGCGCCGCTGTCTGAACGCTGAGCAGTTTAGAGCGTGCATTAGTTGGGAATTTATTAAAGCCATCAGAGTAGTTTTGATTTTGTGAAATACCAGTCGTATGCATATGCATATTTGTTTTACAGTGTCAAACATGAACGTCAATGATCCAGAAGAAATGTTTGTTTGCACATAACATTAAGATGATTTAATATTCCTCGAACAAATCTATCTTCTACAATCTATACATTGTTCATGCATTCCCCACGCGGCTCGCGATCGCGCACCTTCTGTCGGGATTCATTTCTGAGCACTAATTAACCACCATGTCAAATGCATTGTTGTGTATTTTTCTCATGAGCCAGAGTAGCTAATCTCCCATTGGCTGATAGCAATGATTGGTATCTCTTTGAAAACGGCATTCTCTAAATATCTTCCCTGTGCACAGCGAGGATCTCGCATAAGCAAGTGACTCCGGTTTCCTGTTGGGCACATTGTAAGTGCTATCAGGGCGGCTCAGGGAGATAAATATGGATGCACTTGAGTAAATGTAATAAATACGCCTGAATGTGAAGCTCAAATGCTTTCCAAGAGGGGAGGAGGGTAGCCTGCCTGGGGTGTGAGTGTGTGTGTGTAAGCGTGTACGTGTGGGTGCATGGCAGAGCTAAGGATTGTCAGGAGAAACAGAAGTCACACTGTCTCTGGCTCCCCTGGAGCTGGAAAGCGTTTGCCAGCACTGGGATCACTAGGGACACCTCCTCCTTTTGAAAACCTGACAGGCTACATGGTTTGCAGCACAATAAAGGGCCCACAGTACACCAAACTCACTTCCTATTGATCTTAGCTGCCTCCGCAAGTATAACGTTGGTGAGGAGAAAATCCTTATTACTGTTTTTGTTTGTTTGTTTTTTTTAAATGTTGGTTTATAAGATTTTGGGATATTCTACAATGTAATGCATTTCTCATTTCTTTTGTCTGTTAAGTTTAAATATACATAAACTATGCAATTTGTGCAATCAAATACTGCTATGATGAACATTTTTTTAATTAGCTGAATTAAAAGCCATTTTTTAAAATTTATTTATTATTATTTATTTATATTGTTTATTTATTATGAGGCCTAAACTCAAAAAATGTCTTGTTGGTGTAACTGGAAAAAGAAAAGAAAGGAAGGAAAAAAAGTGGGTTAAATAAATAAACAAATATGCAGGAAGCCATTTTTCTGTCATGTGACCCCCATGACTGTGAGGTCACTTGTGTATGCATTGTATACCTAACATATTACTATGTATATATTATATATTCATGTAGACATACACATTCATTTTATTTGTACGAGGTTTTTCGTCACATTGATATTTTTAATAAAAAGGCATGTTTTGTTAGTTAAATGGCACAGCTCTAAAAAAAAATTTTTTGTTCATGACCTATGAAAGTATTTTTTCTTTAAAAATGTGTTTGAAAAGTTGTATTCAAATGTGTATTGAATGTGCAAGGAAAGTATTTTAGTACTTGATTAGACCACTTTGAATATTTTCACTTTCCAGATAATCATTAAATGAAATATTTGCAAAAAATGGAATAAAGAGTTTTCGGAAATGTATGAAAGCAACATGAATACAAAGATTACCAGGTTTTTAAAAGATTTAACTTTTTTTCACTTATGACAGTGCTTCTGTTGTTAAATTAATTATTTCTATTCTGTATTGAAGCACAAAATCGGTTTTGATCCTTGAAACAGCGACAAAGAAGTTCTTTTTTTTTTAAATGCACATTTGTGAATACATTCTGCTTCCATGTTGGGCGGGGGGAAACGGAGTAATTAATTCATTATGTGAATATGCAAATGAGAATGAGAGCGCCAGCGCACAATGTATATGTAATTTTCACTGGTTGTTTTGTTCTCAGTCCCAGTCATTTGGCAGCGAAGCACGGCAATAAAAACTGGGCGTTCATTATTGGACACTGAAAATCAATAGCCGGAATCTGTGGTTTATTGAAACGGTAGGAGCTTGATTTTTGGCGTGTTTTCTGTGATTCTCTATTTGTTATTATCTGTGCTGCTGGAGGTGGAGTCGTCAGCATGCACATTAATATTCCGTACAGCCGCCGCGTGAATCTGGATTCAACGTCTTGCTTACCGATGCAGTTTCTTTACCGACCATATCTCCACGGTTTACAATCAATCACAACTCCAGTCCGATCATTTGCCGTCTGTAATCATTAGAATCCAGTCCGTGTTTTTGTTTTGCTCGCTTTTTAGAAGTTGTCGTCAGCATGCACATTAATATTCCGTACAGCCGCCGCGTGAATCTGGATTCAACGTCTTGCTTACCGACCATATCTCCACGGTTTACAATCAATCACAACTCCAGTCCGATCATTTGCCGTCTGTAATCATTAGAATCCAGTCCGTGTTTTTGTTTTGCTCGCTTTTTAGAAGTTGTGTGTGTGTGTGTGTGTGTGTGTGTGGGGGGGGGTAATTCTCCTTCACTAGTGTCTGGATAAAGAAAGACTAGGTCAGCCATGTGGATGCGTCTGCTGAACAGCTGAAGGAGGGGGTTCTAAAGAAAGAGAGTGAGACAGAGAGAGCGAACGTGCTGTGTGTGCATATTAAAGAAAGCGCGAGGAGAGAGAGCGAGGGAGCGCGTGAGTGTGAGCGCGCGCGTGTGTGAAAAAGGAAGCGGAGTCTGTAAACGCCGAACTCACTGATTTTCTACCTTCCACAAACTCAAGCTTTCGGAGTTATCGCAAGGCGAAAAGGAAGAGGGGGAACCGCATGCGTTCAGAAAACAAGTCCCCGGGCGGTCCGAATGCGAATAAATTAGTAAAGCGAGGTCGTCTTTTGTTGAGGCATTTGCCCCGCTTCTCCTCTGTATGGACAGCGGCTCTCTCAGGATAAAGTATCTGCGTGATAGTGCTCAGCCCTTGGCTTCTTGGATTTTGGCCCAGGCCGAGAAGTTCGGCAGGGTCATTTTCAACGAACAGACGTGGAATTGTGTTTGAAGTTGTTTGCAGCAGCCCGATAGGAACTTAGATCATCATACTGGCGGGTGAGTAGTGCCTTGGCGACATTGGCTATGTACTAAAAGAAAGAAGACTGAGGGAGTTTAGAGGGCTTGAGTGGGTGGGAAGGTAAGTGTGTGTGTGTGTGGTGGGGGGAATAGAGATGGAATGTTGGCAATTGCTATAGGCTCAGAAGTTGAAAGCAGCAGTCTGTTTTTTTTATTGCATGTTTCACTTTTGCTCTTGCTGTTGAAAGAGAGGAGCACTGTGTAATCTTTTTAGGATGCTTCATGGCTTTCTAGTAAGTGGTCTATCAAGTTTCAGCATCTTCCGTGAAGACGTTCTGTGTTTGTTTCCATTTTATTAAGTGAAGAACTCAAGCATTAAGTGAATTATTAATGCTCGGGAAGCAGAATAAATGGTGCATTTAGAGTTGGAGGTGCTGAGGATCTTCAATACATTAAGCATGCGGTTTATCTCAGTGTTTAGCTTTATCAAACACCATCACAACAGTGCATTTGCAGTGACTGCAACCCTCACATGTTGGAAGAGACCTTTTGTTTACTGAAAACCCTGGGAGCAGGGGAGGAGAGCTTTTGGTAGACCTGCCTGACCAGTTGGAGTCTGCTATGGGATGGCCAAGTCTGCCTAACTTCCCTTTGTTGACTTGTAACACTTGAACCGTGGCCCATGATGGGAACAAATATGGCCGGTTATGGTCCTTCCTAGCATGTAGTGATGTGTTGGTGGTGAAGACCAAAAGGGGCATGCCTGTTTTGTTGGGGGTACACGCTTTTGTGGGTTTTGCAGCAATGCCATAGAAATACCGTTTTTGGTTCAGTGATGATTTCTTTAAAAAATAATGTTTGATTTTCTTAGTGTGATGAACATTTTAATGATCTAAAAAACCTTTTGTACAATTGAAAGGTTTTATGGATGTTAAATGATCTTCATGGAACCATAGTTATTTTTAGGAGTGTAAGTTGGAAAAGACTTGTCTGAAACAGTTTTTGTTTCACAGCCTGCCTTATCTGATCTCGTTCTCCATGCTGTGTATGTGGAGGAAGCATCTTGTATATCCTCTTTGGTTTATTGGTCATACTTGAATTTCATGTGACTGTTCAGTTCCTGGGGTACCATTAAAAAAAACACACCATGTTTTTCTCACTTTGCATATGTAAGAGATGTAGCTATTTGTGTTAAGAAGGGCCTATTGTGGCCAGAAGTGATCGTCCCATCCCCCTACACTGGGATGTTTTTCATCTCCAGTTGTGCAACAAGATGGTAATTGGTGTATCTAAAGCTTTGAGGTGGTCAATCACACTCTGCTAGTAGTTTTGTGGGTTTTCCCAAATTCGCTGTCACACCAAAAACACAAAGATTAGGTTTAAACGTCACAAAGATAGCATTGACCAGTCTGGAAACATATAGACATCAGTAATCTATAATCATAACTATGTACAGAGTATCTGTCCTAATCCTTTGGTTCATAGAAAATGGAGAGCGTGAGAGAGAGAAGAAAAGCTTTTATAAACCCCCGTTACACATGCCATGGCTTTGAGGGTAGCCTGAGGTGAAAGAAATCAAACATTTAGTGAAGCGTCTCCTGCAGAGGAACTAAAGACTACAGCCAGGAACAGAATGTTTTCATTGTCTTTTGTTACACTCAGGGAAACCTGTTTAAGCTAGATTACTTTAAAATACACGGACGGCAAGTTTAATATTTGAACACAGCCTGTCCATGTTTGTAGCACACACACACCATTTTTGTCACCTGTTTAGAATAGAATGTCTAATAGGGTTGGGCCGATAGACGATGCCATCGTCCATCGCCGATGGCTGACAGACATCACGATGTTAAGCTGACATCGTGATTCCCCCCCACCACCCGCTCTCCCGCAATCTGCCACATCCCAGTTCTGTGTTCGGAAAGGAAATGACGTGCACTACGGAAACCCAAAAGGGAATAAATAGAAAAATATTTCAATACTTTTTCTCGCAATTAGATCATTGGGTAAGTATAGGCGACTGTATTAAATTGCGGGCATCAGAGAGCCGCTGTTGATACCGCTTTTGATTGCGCGCTGTCATTTTACTTTCGCTTTCACTTTCGAGATTCGTGACCACAAGGATTCTATACTATTAGATGTTTGCCGTTGGTGCTCAGGATCTGCAAATCATTCGCCATCATCCTATCAGACATTTCTCCTTACTCTGTGTATGTGGTAAGTGAACTTCCATGTTCTGTAATGCAACAGGCTACCGCTAAACTTTTAGTGGCTCCGAATAACACGTTATTTGTTTCACACTTCGGGCACACCCCTAACCCCCCCGATGTCATCGTCCATCACAGTGTTTCACTGTAGACATTGTCCGATGCCAATTTGGTAGACATCGCCCAACCCTAACGTCTAATTAGGTTGGTGTTTCCAAATGTCCTCCTTGTCATCTCTAGTGAATGACTGTGCTCTCTTGCTCTTTTTTTTTAAATGACTTGTGAAGGCTGTATGTTTTAATGTTCTCGTTATTATACATCTGAGTGCTGGGCCTTCATTTGCAGCATGTGGGTGTATGATTAACTGTGTCATCCTTCTCCTTTAACAACTGCTTGAGCAGCGGAGAATGGCTACTAAATGTTTAATGCTTAAGCACACAGTGACATTTAGCCTTTGTGTTTTCTCTGCAAAAAAAGGTGGTGTTCGTTTTTTCGTGTTTAATAGAATTACCCACATCGCAAAGATGCGCTGTGTGTTATCCTCCACATTAAAAGCATCAAACGGGCGATACTCTGATCAAAGGCGGTGTGGCAGGGCTGACGAAGGGGTTTCTTCATAAAGTGTGTTCTAGCGGATCAGTTGGTGTGCGGTGGCTGCTGAATGTTTGGCGGGGCTTGGGCAGGCATGTTATTTAATCTGCTCGCATGATGGAACTGGCTGGTGTTACGCTGCACGTCTTTTCTCCTCCGTTTGCAGAGAGAGGCCTTAATTGATGACACATCCGGGCTGAGCTATGCAATGTTATGCTTTTCAGGTTGGGCTTTGTCTCTGCAAACTTCTAGGTAGACTCTCCTTTGTTTACAAGAATGTGTTGGCACTTTCCCCTTGATAATAGATACAGTAACCACAGGCGCCTGCTCATAGCCCTAGTGACAAAGAGACCTGACACTGTCAAACTATAAACAGCTCAAGCAGCTGAGTCGTCTGAATGCTTCTGTAGCAGAAAGTACTAAGAGCAGATTGATATCTGTCTGGTAATAGGCTCGTCTTTGTTTGACTCATTCCTCAGACTTCACGGGTACACGGTATAGTGTTTCAGCAACACTCTTTCTTATTTGTTGTTCATTCCTCTGTTTATTCTGCACATGCCAGAAGGTAGTTGATCTGTAGCTGTTGAAGTTAATCTGATAAACCTGGATTGGTCAATTTATGCATTAACCATACGTCTTGTGCAAGAATCGGGCTTGTTGATGTCAAATAAATGTAAACCTGAGGAGCGCGAGAAGTTAATGGGTGTAATTGAAACTGATATTTTTTTAATAAGCCCTAAAGCAGCTGAGCCCTTTGCTCGAGATGTCTCGCACATGTTAAGTGAGAGGGGACATCTGGACCTGTTAATTCAGCACATGGTCATAAAGTGAGGTTGGGGGGTCCCACAGGCCCCACTGTTTTCCTGTTCTGTTAGGGATGTCAGATGTAGTCTTTTATGCTTTTTACGCCCGCACACCCTTACTAGTATTCGCTCTGTCCTTGTCCTTATAGAGAAACACTCGCTATGGTGATAAACATATATAAAAATGCAGTCCTCACTCAAGTGCTTTCATCTTGAAAAGCATGCTTTGGATCGAAGCTTTTCTTGCTTAGAAAGGATCCAAATTTCTTAGACTGCTGGAATGGAGCACAATTTGTGACTGCTGCTCCTCCAACGATTCCTAAACATCTATTTTTTGCTGTTATGTGCATTATGGAACTTGTCATTTATTTTATTAATCTTCATGTCATTCCTATGCAGTATTGTTTTCTTTCTTACATGAAACACAAAAGAAGGCAGCATGTCCATACAATGAAAATAAATGTTGTTTTTTTTCCTCGATGCCAAGCTCAAATATACAAGTAAAAGTATCTTAGTAGTCCAGTGGTTCTCAAACTTTCTGGCTTCAAGGCCCCTTTGTCCGAGACAATATTCAAAGGCCCTTCATCTAAGCTGCAATCAAACTCCAAAAAATGACAATTTAATGTTGTATAGATATTTTTTTGTTACTGTAATAATTCATTTAATATCATTTCATTTTTAATACTTACTGGGCCATTATAAGGCCCTTGCCTCCTGGTTGAGAACCACTGTTATAGTAGTCCATACAATTTAGTGTGCAAAATTTGAAGTCCTTTAAAGCTGTATGACAACTTTTGACATAGTGCTGGGCGGTATGACCAAAAATTTATATCACTGTATTTTTCTAAATTATACCGGTTTCACGGTACATGACGGTATTTTTTTTTCATGCATGACTGGGTGTTAACTATTTTCTACTGATTGAGAGAGGAAATAGTGCAGTATATTGACCCTATTTTACTGTCATGATGATTGAATATTGTCAAAAAATACCACACTAAATAGTGACTAAACACGACCCCTTTTAATACATGTTAACCAGGAGTCACTCTCATTTATAATCGTGGCATCGTCTGATTAAGTCAACATGCATCTACACTAAAGAGCGGCTATGCGGTTGTATTGGCTATATAACTTTTTTGTCTTGAGTAACAAACTAAAAAAAAACAACAAACAAAAAAGTGCATGTGATCTTGACAGACGAACTACGCTCATATTTATAATCCCAAACAATCAGAAACCAATCAGTTTCAGACTTGGAAACGCTGTTTTGTACTCATTTATTGACGAGTCGGCTGCGGTGTGGCCAACTGAATGTGCTGCTTTTCTGCCGCTCACTGCACAGAACAGACGCCGAGAGACGTGACACTTCTCCGGGAAAGTCAGACCTCGCGTTCGCTGGACAGCACTGGAGAAAATTCGCCACAGTGTGAAAAGG